AAAATGTGTAATAAGTTAGATTCTTACCATTAACTGTTCTTTCTTGGTGTCTAGCTGGATGCTGCTGTCAGTGCAATTATTCTGCTTAGCACTTAATGTTTTCCAGAACGGTGTAGGACAATGTCCAGATGCATTTAAATCCACCATTCAAGGCCTTTTCCTTCTGCTATCTCACATTCCATGACATCAGGTTTTGCTCTGTGCAAAACACTATTGCTGGTCTTTTTGGAAAATGTCTTATACAGTAGCACTGAAAACAATATCCCTTCTATCTAGAGTATCACAGTCTAGTCACTTTATATCATGTCTCTAACAATGGCTCTTCAAATTCTGCGCAGGTGTACATGACTTAAGAGCAGAAAAGAATCACAGACCATGTGAAGCTTGTGTTTGGAAACCAGTTTAGATACCGTCCCTTAGATTGTACTTCTGACTTAACTCAGTGTCCTGAGTAGAGTATAGCATGTCATAGGAAGGCCTCTGAGTCCTGAATACTTGGGCTTTACCTGGTTTGGGTGTCTGAGTTAGTGTAGGGTTTGGAGGAGAAGAGCTGGACACGCTTGACATTGGAACTTGTGTGGGTCTTGTTATAGTTGTGGGTATGGCTGTAGTTGAAGTTGTGCGTCTTGTGGCGTGAGTATTGCTGTGGTTTGTGGGTCTTGTAGTTTGGGTCTTGTTGGTTTTGTAGGTATTCTTGGAGGTCTTGTTGGAATTTCTGGAATTAGAAATCAACAGAAAGTCCTCACTCAAGTAAGAAGACAAGAGCTTCTCCTGCTAATAATCCACACCCTAGCATACCAAGAGGCTGTCCCCAGGCAGAAGCATCTTCCCTAAAATCCTGATCTTTATTATTTACCAACTACAATCTGACAGCAGAAGGCATCAGAGAAAATATCACCAAATGGAAACAGCTGCTCCTATTTTACTGAAACATTTTTTTTTCAAAGACAGGTTATTAGATTCACTTATCTCTCTAAATATCTCTGTGAGATAAAGTTTGGAGAGCCTAGGGCTGATTTTGTTCCTCTCAATGGCAAACAATTGATTTAAACAACATGTTCCAGACCCAGTATGTACAATTCACTTAGTCCTGAGAGTATACTCAATAAAGCCCTGCATCTTAACTGAGGAATAGCTAAGCCTATTTGCCTTTGAGACATCTATGTAATGCCCATCACAAAGCATTTGCACTTTTGGGTCAGAAGTGGACACACACATCTAAAAAATACATGTTGAGCTTCCCTTATCCAAAGATGCTTGGTACAGGAAGCTTCAGAACTTAGCTATTTCTAAAACTTTTGGAATACTTCCATATTAATATCTTGTGGATGGGGCTCAAATATAAGCATGAATCAATGCATGGTTCATATATCACAGTTTATATACATAGCCTAAATTTAAGTTACTGTACATTTTGTCATTGTGTGCATCAAAAAATTTTCATTATGTAAAATCTTCCACTTGTATTGACAAATCAGTGCTCAAAGTTTCAGAATTTGAAACATTTAAGATTTTGTGTTTTATAAGTAGGGAGGTTCAGCCTGTAAAAGCAAAAGGATCAAATATGCTATAAAAATTTAAACAGCTTATTGAAGGCCTGAGGGCTTCCCAGAGTTTCAAGACTTGAATTAAAACAAAACAATGCCTAGTAGTAAAGATAAGTAGCAAAGGAATCAGGCAGAAATGCACACTTTCTTTTGATCAAGTAGACACATTTCCTTTAAGTAGTTTCTGTTTGTTTGTTTGACATGTTTGTGTATTTGTTTTTGAGATAAGGTCTCCTTTTAGCCCCAGCTGGCCTGGAACTCGCTGTATAAACCAGACTGGCCTCCATCTCACTGAGATCTGCCAACCTCTGCCTCCGTGTGCCACCATGCTTGGAATTTTCCCTAATTCATAAGTCTGCTAACTATAAACTAAAACCTCAGGAATGGGGAACAATTGGTTTGAAAATTCTTCTTTATGAAGGATATAATGTAATTTGAAATCTAGCCAGCTTCACCTTAACAGAAAGAAAAAATAATTTATGTCCTTATATGCATGGAATTAGTGAAAGTAAAGGGTCATCTTCCCTTTGAAATGGAGATCTTTTTTAAAGGTTAAAACGTCATTTAATTTATGTCTTATAGGGTTTATACTGAGTACAATATTGTGTAACTGTAATAATTCAACTGTAAACCTAAAAATTTACAGCCAATTTTGAAAGAGATGCATCCTACCTCAGGAAACCGTTATTGAATATGTCAATTGTGTTGTAATGATATGCTTCTTCTAAGTATGTTGTTATTAAATAAATAATTTTTAAAAA